ATATATATGTATATATATAGTGCATACATGTTATACATACAGAATATTTAAGATTATTTTCATGTGCAAATAGATACAGTGGATTAAACTGAATCAAAACATCTTCTACAACTTTTCAATTTTCGCAATAATTAACGAATTATTATTAAAAATTGCCGTATTAACCCGGCTTATCGCCGAATGCAAGTGCACGGCGAAATGTAGCCGCTCAGCGATCGAGGTTGCTAAAAACACGTGGAATTGTTAATTAATAATAACTCATTGACTATTGCAAAAATTAAAAAGTTGTAAAAGATTTTTCGATACAGTTTAGTCCGCTCTGTCTGTATATAAGAATAATTCCAAATATTTCTGGCCCCGAACGTTTCAAAACCAGATTTCGAGATTTTATAAGAAATTTAATTTTGAACAAAAAATTTCCTATAAACATGGATAAAAAAATATTTCCCTAAAAAGTTATCGCTCAAAACCTCTGCAAGAAATAACGATTAAGTACACAATAAGTAAGAATATTTTACCTATATACATTTTTAAATATCGGGAATGTATGCGCTTTTTTACAAAAAGTATCAAAACGAGAGTTGTAAAGAATTAAATTATCTTTCAAATGAAAGCAAAATGATTGTAATACATTCCATAGATTTCGCGATAAGGAAGCATTTTTGCTATTAGTAAAGTCTTTTTACAAATATTCTTATTTATGCTTACTCTTCATATTTATGTAGAATAAAATAAAGAATACAAGATAAAAAAAATAAATTTCTCGGAAAAAATTAGAGTATCTTTGAAAAAGCTTAATCATTGATAACCAAAAAAATATTCTTTTTTTACATTTGAAATTGATTATCTTGAAATATAGAACGCACTGCATTTTGATCTCATTTGAAAAATAATTTAATTCTGTACAACTTTCGTTTCGGTACTTTTTGTTAAAAAATTCATACATTCCCTGATTTGTCAAAATGTATAAAATAATCGTGATTTCAGAGATTTTTGAACGATAACTTTTAAAGAAACATTTTTCAACCCATATTTATGGAAAACGTTTTGTTCAAAATTAAATTTCCTATAAAATCTCGAAGACTAACTGAAACGTTCGGAGTCACTCTGTGTCTACAGGGTCTCTCATTTTAACATTCGCCTCAAAATATCACAGAAAGATGTTTCAAGCAAAAGTTCTATGACTTCGAGGGGGGCTAAGTATTATTGATAGTACCATTGATTTGTCCTTGGGTGGTGTTAATTAGGTTAATTGACTGTTTGTCAATTAAGTCACAGCAAAGTTACGTTGAATTTTTTAAATAAAATCTCCCATTTTTCATTATATGATAAAACCACTAGTTGTGGATTACTCTTTAAAAAAAAATTTATATTTTTATCCAGAACAATATCGAACAATTAATAAAATATTTAATAATCATAATTGATCATAAAGATTATGGATGATTATGGATAATTTTATTCCATTTAATTACCATTTTAATTTAAATTAAATAAAGTAATGACAATTATCCACAATTAAATCCCATGTACTAGTTGCGGATCAATGCATCAAATGCTTTATCCTTTTTTATGGTGTTATTACATTCCATAAGGATAATAAAAATGATTTGCGCATGCATATCATTATATATATATATATATATATAAAA